GTTTGCCAGATAGAATGCCAGACGATTTGCCAGATAGAATGCCAGATAGAATGCCAGAAGATATGCCAGAACAACATATGCCAGTAGATATGCCAGGTAGAATGCCAGAAGATATGACAGATAGAAAGCCAGATCGAATGCCAGAAGATATGTCAGATATAATGCCAGAAGATTTGCCAGTAACAAATCGTATAAATGTCATGGTGGGGATCACTCGAAGCAAAGCAATTTCATTTATATCCTTTATAGTTCAACCCACAAGTCTATTTGTATGTGAGGTTGGCAGTTCACCTGGTGTTGTCAGCTGCGGAGCACAACTTCGCCGCACTCTTCGCCACAGTTTGTTCGTCTTGGACAGTAGTTAATGCAGGAACGTCAAGGAGAAGCTTTCTTCTACCAGAAGGTCTTACTGAACTTCTGTATGTGGCATTGGCCAATTGTATGGTGTCAAGGAGTTGGGTTGTGCTGATTGGAGATTACAGGGGAAACAATCGCAGTTAAGAGGGAGAGCTTACTCAGTGGGTTTCCTTACTGTATGGTGTCTTTTTTCGGGTATAGAATGGGGCCAACCCAAAAAATAGAAATAAAGTTATATCAGAGAGAGACGGGGAACATATATAACTATATATATATATATGGGGATGTCTCAAAATCATGTGCCCTTTTCTATTCTTAAACTATATAACATTTTCAGAAAAATGGCACCTCAATTTTAGACATATACCCATGCATTGCATGTTATATATATAAATGTGTATATATACCTTAATTGTGTTATAGACATTTAAGAATGTGACAGCATTTAAATATATAATTATTTTTAAATATAGTTAATAGGGATCTCGATGCTATACATGAACTGTTCTGGTAATTTTTAACCCATATATATATACATACATAAATTACGGGGATCAAGATGGGGCATTCTTCTTCAGAAAGGGGTGCGGACCTTGCCAGGACAACTTTGCTTTACTACCTCATCACCTGCATTGGAGGTACATGGCTGCTGGAGCAGCCAGGAGGATCGCTGATGGACCAATATGACAGGTTCAGGGAATTGTGCCGTAGAATGAAAGCAACTCTTCTGCATGTATACAAGAGTTGGGCCCCATAGAATGTATCTTTCAACGCGTTTTTTTTAGCAGATGGACATATATATATATATATCTTACTGAGTGGGTCTCCTTCAAGAAAAAAATATAAACCTTTTTCATTGGGCTGGCTAATACAGATTTGCTCTCCTATATACTGTATAGTTGAATTGAAGGTGGCCCTTTAAATTTGATTTGGAGACATCCATGTTGGGAATTGCCTAGGTATGGAAAACATGCTGGTGGATGGCACATTACGGCAGTGGATCACCGAAACGTCAAAAATGTTTCTCAAACAACAGAACCACCGGTGTACTGAACATGGGCAAGCTCAAGAAGGAGCAACGCGAGAAGTTGACTGCGAAGACTACTAAACGAACCAAGGGTGGTGGATTTCAAGGAACAGCAGCATTAAAGGAATCGCAGCGCCATGGCTGTGCAATGAAAAAAATCAAAAGATATTATGTTTTGATTCCCCGACCAAATTCATTAAATTGGATGGGAATATGTGCGGCACCCCCAAAAACATTGCTGGAACCTTCGCTCAAGGGGAAACCATCTTACTATATGGGGCCCACTTGTGTTCTAAAGGGATTTTATCCTCCAAACAAAAAACAATCATGCTGGATGAGACCAACAGTAGTCCCCTATCAACGATTTATATAGGGTGTTATGGTGAGACCACACAAGACTTGGCCAGCTCACATGGCTGATGGTGAGACGAACTCTACAAACAAATGAGTACAGCCTGCATGGTTTTTGTTTACCACGGTAAATATTTGATGGACCCCAAAGATTTTCTAGCATGCAGTAAATGCTGGCCTACCTGGAAGGGAAGATGATATGCCTCCTACATTTCGATAGTGAGCTGTTTGGGTATATGTGTCTCCTTTTCACATTGTTCCCTTTATTTTTACACCGAATTGTTAGGGCGGAAAACATTACGCCAACTGGTTCGCATTATCCCTTGATGTTCCATATATATATATAAGTCAAACAATGGCCGGGTTGTGGAGAATGTCGAGATCCTTCAATATTTATACACTGTTTGCAAAGTAGCCCCAGGCCCCAAAACCAAATCACCATTATATGTGTATACATGTGTGTATATGTGTTATATATATATATATTGCCATGCCGATTCCCCGGCTGATCCCTGCCTAGAACCTATCCGCCGCGCTTTGGGAAGAAGATTTGCAGCATGATGCCCGACCTGAAGTCGAAGGGCCAAGGTCGCCCAAATGTGGGCACTGAGCCGGTTTTCCAAGAACTTACAGATTATGAATGGTCTGATTGGTCTGAGGCCAAACTCATAGAGGTAATTAAATACCTTCGTGGGAATGTCAACCTCCGGCTCCCGGAGGAATGGAAGCAATGCTTTCCAACAAGACTGTGATCAAGTTTGATCAGAGTGGTTATGGGGAAAGGTATACCCTAAATGCCAACAAAATGCTTTGAAACAATTTCACTGCCTACATATATTCGATCAAATGGTTTGGGGGGACAGGTAGGCAGCTGCAGGGAACCCTGAAATTGTAAACTTCATTTTCTGAATGGTCAGGGGGGCATGTTGACCCGGGAGCACCCATGGATTGCCAAATATTGGCTTCGTCACTTTTGTCATGGTTTGAATCGTGGCTATCTAGGATTTTTTGACCCACAATGGAAAATTAACAGGAACCTTCAGGTTTTTAATGGTTTTTAAGCGTTTTCCAAAAAAAAAGAGAAAATCAAGAAAAACAAAAAAAATGTAAAAAAACGGATTGAAAAAAAGCGTAAAATTACGTAAAAAAAGCGTTCGGATTGGAAATTACCGTTCAAATCCAATTGCGTAAAAAAAGCGTACCCGTTCGAAAGCGTTCAAAAAGCGTTCGAAAAGCGTTCGAAACCGTTCGAAATTACGCAAAATTTTACGTAAAATGAAAGACTTTTCAAGATCCAAACCATGCCGTCCCCAACGTCACCTGGACCACTCTGGGAAAACTTAATTCAAAAAATTGACCCTTTTCAGATTGACTATCCGCAGTTGATGTGCTGGAAAAGATTTTACCGCAGTGCGCTGCCTCGTCTTGGTAAATTCAGCTATGCAGTATTCACTGGTCACCTGTTTGGAGACTCATATCGGCTACTAGAGGTTACACCATAATTTTGAAGGTATTTTGAGACTCATATATCCCTTTTCAAATTACATCTGTTTTACTGACTGGGATGTGCATGCATTTATAGCTTTTGATTGGCAATTGTATAGTTTTTCAGTTGGCAAAGCAAACGTCTCAGTCCTGTGGTTGGTTGTTTGTTTCAGCAGTATAAGCCTCACAAACCCACCACCTGATCTCACTGGGGATGTCGGCTGAAACGTTGCCGAGCCGGGCTTGGTCATGCGCAAGCCTGGCGGTTGGTGCTGCCGCAGCAGTGGAAGTAGGGAAGATGCCGCTTAAGAAGTTCAACAAGGAGGAAATCCAGAACCGTTTGAAGGAGTTGGGGTTGGGTCAACAGGATCAAAGAGATGTAACTCAAAGATGTATATATATATATATATGTATATATAACTATATACAGCTCGAATATATATAGTTAACTGTTCAATGAGTATAGGGTCTATCCTGCACAGAACAGTTATACTGCTGCTGCCTTTCAGGACATGCAACATAAGTTGCTGGCGCTACGAGCTGTGAAGACTGAAGCGGTACCCACCCCTGCATCTCGTTTGGATTTATCAATGCAAATATGCATATATATATATATATATAGATATCTAAAAGTGTTTCATTTTATGTTGAACAGTTGGCATATATATATACACATATATATATATATAAGCACCAACAGCTGATTTGTAAGGTAGCCAAGGAGATCACAGATGTGGCCGTTTCCGACGCTGACACAATTCCAGCGGACCCTTGGTTGTCTGCAAATTTCAATCCGGAAAGGCTTTGGGGGAGTAAATAAATAAATAAATAAATATATATATATATATATTTGTGACTATATACCTGTTGCACTTGTATAGATATATATATATGTATATACATGCCATCCAGTAAGTCACATGTATAGCAGGGGAAACATAATCTATACATAGCGGCAATATTTTAATTGCCCCGTTTGATTACCTGATGATGTATACATAGAATGGAACCAACTATCCAAACATAAGTCAGCCAACCCAGGACACCCAGGAGTTGATGGAGAAAATTTCCGCCTCGCCCACAATGGAAAGCAGCCAGACACCTCAGGCTGGACAGCGCTGTGAGTTTTGGAGACCCTAAATTATTCCACATATTATACGTTTGTTTTTCAAACATATATCCTTTATAGAAGAACGCACATGCATAAATATATATATATATATATATATATGTATGATACATATATATATATATAAAGAGAGAAAGGAAGCAGGGATGTGAGTACAGCGCACATGCCCATGCACATCCAGGAAGAAGTCCCTGCAACGCCTTCTCCCACCAACCGGCCTACTATTCCAACCAAGCTGCCTATGCCTTCTCAGGACACCAGCCCACATGCAACCCAAGAGATTCCATGAGTACATTGTTTCCTTATATACTTGCACGGTATATATATATATATATGCATCATGGCTGTTATATACATGCATATATATGTGCATGTGTGTGTGTATGTGCAGTGCACCTGTGTGAAGGAGAGTGCGCGAAAGCAACCGACGGAGTCTCCCACGAGCAAGGACCCTATATCTTGATCTAATATACTTGAACAGTTGTACCCAATACAAGACATATACCACCAAGTTGCCTGCAATCATATATATATATATCTCTGCAATCAAATACATATCACACACATGCACATATAGAGATTTGCTTTTACCACTTTTCCCGATGGGTTGTATACACAGTTGCGCCGCAGGACGAGGAGGAGACTTTGCAAATGGCGATCCAGCGCATCAAGGACTTAGAGCGTGAGCTTCGTAGAGCTAAGCGTGGTGCTGACAATGGAGGGGATAATGATGATGAGGGCGATGCTAAGGATGACGAAGGTGAGGATGAACCAATCAAGTATCCAGATGGGACAGCTGCCCCTTGCCTCCTCAATTCTCCAGCGTGAAATCACTTGTACACCATGCATAATATACCATGCATATATATATATACACCCAAAAATGATTCTTGAATACCCTTGTGATATATATATATATCTCTCTCTCTCCTGAGCTTAGGTGATCTCCGCAGACGCATTACGCATGCGTCTTAGGAGACTGTGTTCTCTTAAGAAATCGGGGAAGAGCCATGTGTCGGACGAAGTCCGAAAGGACTACTTGGGCGGCGGAGAGAAACGGGAGTGGCTTGAGATTGCCTTGTTAGAGGCGATCAAGGTTCACGGCACAGATCGCAAGCTCTACAACAGAGTGAAGGAAAGGTTTTGTTGGAAAGGTTGGGGATATTTGGTGAGGCATATATATATATATATATATATGGAGTCCTGCATATATATATATATATTTATATATTTTATAGCATGCAGGTATCTCTACTCCTTTTGGTGTTTGCTCTGTGCCTGCACTCTGTAGGGCGAGTTCTTGACACGCATCGTGGTGGTGCGCGAACGAATGGAAGCCAAGGAGCAGGAAGTGCACGGCAAGTGGATGACCGAAGAGAGGTTGAAGGCATGTGAACTTTATTCCGCGTAGCCTGGATGAATCCATGTTTCTCATGGCCCTCTTTCATGTGTTTTTTTTAACGGCTTTCAAAGAAAGAAAGATATAGAGAGAGAGTCAATATATACAAAAACCATAGGTCTCGTTATTTGGCCAAGAGATTGTGAACATATCCATCCACATTTCATTTTGTTTCACATGTTTGGTGACAGCCCATGGGTCCCAGGACAAGTGTGAAGAGCATTATCGAGTTCTGCCGGCGTTTTCCAACAGCGTTGGTGCGGCAACCTGGTGTGCATTTATAAACCTGCATGTTGTAAATCCTTATTTATATATATATATATAAAGAGAGAGAGAGAGATGTGCACGATGTGCCAGCATACCTTGATCGATGTATAGAGTCTTTAAATATATATATTTACATGTATATGGATACTGCATTTTTTGACCATGCAATGGATCAGTTTCCATGTGTATTTGATGAATTGTTACATGCTTATCCTTTGCGACCAGGCAGTGGAAATATAACCCCTCCGTGCCGGAATTTTTCGTGGAGGATGAGACCACAACATGCCTGCGGAGATCAGACCTGACCCGGGAGGTTGCCACCACTGAAGTGGAGGTTTCTAGCCTTGCAAAAGGATAAAACCACCTTCAACCTATTATGGTCCCATGTGGTCCCATTGGTTCTTCATTTTTTTGGTGTACCTATATATATAATATATATATATATATACATAACAATCCCGGGCCCGAAACAATCCTGATAACTTATAATTATAAATATATATAGTTCGGCCCCTTCCAAGAGAGCCGTTGCCGCTGAGGACAAGACGTCGGCCACAGCTCCCGATACCAGCAGACTTGGCCTTGAGATCCCGTCAGAAAACATCAAACCCGAACTTGTGGGTCACAAGGTTGGGAGTGCTAATATATATTTTATATATATATATATGTATAATCATAAACTTGATTACTGGTTTGACTATACTGGATTACTTCCCCGGAATCGTGATTCAAACTTCTAGGTGGCCCCTGACCTAGAGAAGTTCATGACATCCGTGCAGAACAGGGTGAACGGTGTCTGTGAGATGATTTCAGTGTTGACGGACGTTGAGATCCCAGTGGCGGCGCGCAAGGTTGGCTACACAACGCCGCTTGACTTATAGCAATACTGCGTGCCTATATTTTAAGTTTTCGGGATCTTAAAGGTTTGCAACTTATGTGTGCGTATACAGCCACATACAAAAATCCCATCTTGATGCTTATACAAGTCGATCAATCTAACCCTATATATATTATACGCGGGATTTTTTGAAAAAAGTTGCGCAACCCCGTGCTTGCCCCAAGGCTTTCCAACAAGCTCGAGAAGTGTCAGAACCAGTTGGAGGAATGCTACTCCCGATTGGCGTCGATCTTGACGGATATCCAGATGGAAGGGCTGGACCAACTCCACAATACCGACCCCAAAATGAAACAGTTTCTTGGAAAGTATTGATTTCCATCAAGGGTCAGCGACAAACATATGTTTTTTTCGCAGTTTTTGGGCTCCTAGTGGGGAAATTGGTGCCCTCTTTAATTTTTTGGGGCTATGCGTGATGACGCATCATCACGGGGTGAGCCGGATGAAGATGATTGCTGGCTCATGGAACTTATCCACTATAATCGGAATGCAGCTCGCCAGCAACTAAAGTGGTGATGGTCAAACAATTCACACATATATAAGATATTTATATATATATATTTATATTTATATATATGCATGAACCCATACCCAGGTTTCCCAATCCATATGTTGTCTTTCCCATAGGCAACCCTGCCAACGATGCCAGTGGCGGTCCACCGATGTGAAGCTAAGCCAGATGCCTGGGCAAGGTTTCTGAAAGACGAAGTTCTTTCTCTCCCAAGGACCAACCAATGTTTTTCAAGTATTGAGGCAGATCCTAAGCTGGGGTACAAACTAATTCCCAACAAGAATGCCACGGCAGGTCAGGTATTGAAACATGTATTTACAACCCTGGAAAGACACTTGGAAAAGTATGCCCCATCCATTTACAAAATTGGATACACACACGACCCAGTGTGGAGATTTTATAACTCACACTATGGTTATGTAAACAATAGAGAAAAATGGGAGGGAATGACTGTTCTGTATGTGTCGGACGAGAGCGTGAGCCCTGCATTCGTGGAAGCAGCTGCTATCCAAAAACATCATGGATACTTGCCTGAATCTTTATACATATATATATGGTTTGCGAAACCAGTTGGCAAGAAGGGCCCTTGATTCGAACTTCATACATATAATGTCCCCAAAACGGATCGATGTAGACACCCTTGCAAGAAGTGAAATATGATAAGACCCAAATTCCCCACATGCCAGGTGAGGGTTGTTAGATTTTATCAGAGTTGTTCTTCTTCTCCTCCTCCCTCTTCTCCTCCTCCTCCTTCTCCTCCACCACCTCTGCCTCCACTTCCATGTCCACTTCCGCCTTGCCAACTCTTCGCCAAGCTCTTCGTCAACTTCCGCACGCAGTGTGCACTGCTGGACCTCAACTGCAAGGGTCTGAGCGCACTGGGCACCGCTGGACCTCAACCTGGGACCTTCCGAGCTCAGTGAGCACTGCTGGACCTCAACCTGGGACCCTCCGAGCTCAGTGAGCACCGCTGGACCTCAACGGCCAGATAGAATGCCAGAAGATATGCCAGATAGAACGCCAGATAGCATGTCAGATAAAATGCCAGAAGATATGCCAGATAAAATGCCAGAAGATATGCCAGATAGAATGCCAGAAGGTATGCCAGATAGAATGTCAGATAGAATGCCAGACGATATGCTAGATAAAGTGCCAGAATGTTTGCCAGATAGAATGCCAGACGATTTGCCAGATAGAATGCCAGAAGATATGCCAGAAGATATGCCAGGTAGAATGGCAGAAGATATGCCAGATAGAATGCCAGATCGAATGCCAGAAGATATGTCAGATAGAATGCCAGAAGATTTGCCAGTAACAAAACGTATAAATGTCATGGTGGGATCACTCGAAGCAAAGTAATTTGATTTTTACAATTCTTATATATGTATTCCCTTATAGTGGGCCTTTATTGCTGGAATGCCAACCAAGGAAATCCAGGTTGCAAAAACATTCGGGATGGCGGTGACAACGTCAAGACTGGAGATGGTGGGCCATACATGGTGTATTTCGTGTACAGATCCTTTCAAAAAGCGCCGCACCACTGTTGCTAAAAGGTGTGAATAAAAAATGCATTTGCACAGGTTCCAAAAAAACGGGGTGATGCCATATATATATATATATATATACCTGGTATATATATAGTTTGGCCAAGATATTATAATTATACTTTTCAGTGTTCATCCCCACTATCTTAGGTTGTGTGACGCCATTGAAAAGGAGAAGATTGTGGTGAAGAAACCGTATCTTGCTTTCTCAGACTGGAACCACGGGATCCTCTTAGAAGTTTATCATGTTTCCCGGCACAACCATATCAACTGGCAACATCTAAGGTGCGCTGAAATCGTGGCCATGGACGTTCAGTTCAAGTTTCTTGGCTTCTTATTTGCGAGAATGTGGTCTGCCCCCTTGAAGGTATATATATTCAATGTTGCCAAGCTCATTCATGGGGACTTAGGCAGTTCAAAAAGGAAATCGTGAAGGCGAGAAAGGCAGCAGCTCAGCCGGATACTCCGGGTGGAAATGCCAAAACGCCCAAGCCGAAGCCCGGTGCAAAGTCAACGGCCAAAAAAGAGAAGAACATGAATGGAACCCGAAAGCGCAAGGCTAAGTCTGGTGCTGAGGAGAGAGATGGTCAGGATGGCAATGAGGCCCATCCAAAGCCTAACAGGCGATCAAGGAAAGCTGCAAAGCAGTGAAGGAGATTAGGGTTGGCTATAGATGCATCATGGGCCCCATGTTCACTTTACATATATCTTTACATATATCCTCGTGAAAAAATATTTCATTGACATTCTATATATATATACACATAATTGGTGTGCTTGTTGCCTTTGGAAGCCTTCTCTGTCTTCAAGCCTGATTAAGGGCAATTTCTGTTCTAGGGGTTTTGCTTGCACTGACGCAACTGAAATGTTGTTTCTACATCGCAAGCATGGCGATTCCAAGCTGTGTGCAATTTCATACAGCGGCTTAGCAAATTTCATATACCTGCAATGAAAGGGGATCTGGTCAGCGGTGAAAAAAAGCATCATCTTGAAATCAATGCAGAGTTGAAACATGTTTTTATGACAAAGGTCCAACCATGACATGGCCCCCCCATGCCAGGTGTTTCCAAACAAGGGCAGCGTCTTGCCTGGAAATACAGCAGGGGAGAAGCTTGGGCGCACATGGGCTCATGGCACATCCGACCAATGGGTCCAGTTTGCCTTGCCATGATTTATATATATATATATGTATATGTGCAAGTGTATGTTGCTTCAACGCTAAAGCACCATGAAAGCGCATGTGTCCCCAAAAAATAATTCGATCGATTTCATCGATAATTATATATATATATATTCCCATATACTGCATTACATATGCTGATGCTCCCACATAGACCTGTCTGATGCTTCTGCTCAGGAGGCTTGCACCGAGATCATTCGAGATGCCAAAGCTGCTTGGGAAGATGCTTGTCTCGACGTGCCGGAGGGGCCGCGATGCGAGCTGATCTACAATCTGGCTTTTGCAAGGGAGAGCAAATCCGTACCCTGGATCGTCCAGTTGTATAGGTATATTTTTTCGTTATCCTTTACAGACCCCCACTGACCAAATACATGTACAAAATGGGGTTATATATATATATATTATATATATATATAGTTTTTGCAAATGGGATTATATATATATATATATATACTCTATAAGTTTTTAGGTTCCACCAAACTTCACCTTATAAGTTTTTGATGACGCAAAGATTTTGAGTCATCCAGGAAAAGTCCGTAAACAAGATATTTGAAAAGTTCAACCTCCGGTATCCTGTGAAGCTTTCCTATGCAACTGTTGGCGGCCTAGAGAGATACCCATAAATCAAGCCCAGTGACTTCATCTCAGCTATGGCGGATACAGGTGATTTGGGACGCCTTCTTTCTGGGAATAAGACACTGATGGATGCGAAGCCCCTTCTGATGGAATTTTGGCGCAGTTATCAACAGGTTTATCCCCAACACGAATTATTTGGGCCAAAGGGGGCCCACCTTCCGAGGGAACGGTGTGTTCCTGTGTTTATACATGGAGACGAAGGGACCACCTACAAAAAATCAGCAGTCCTTTTGATTTCATTTCAACCCGTCATTGGTTTTGGGTCCCAGCGTCGAAGCATTCAAGCGGCTTTGACTGATTTTGAGAAGGACATGGAAAAAGCTGGCATACCAGTTAACTTTTTGAGAACAGGATTTCAAAGCCGATTTCTATGTGCAATTGCCCCCAAGGACGTGTTTGGGAAATTGTTTTTGAAACGAAATAAAACCATCTTGTTGTTTGTGTTGGCTGGCCGATGCATCTATATATTTAAAAAAACTTCTGTGGCTCTTGACTGCCTGACAGGACTTCTACGCGGAAAACTATTCATCTGCTTGGGATGATCTCATCACGCTGATCGTATCAGATTTTGCTCATGCCCAACAACATGGTATCAACTTGCCAGTTCATGGCGTGGTATACCCCATTGTTTTGGGTAACAAAGGTGACTGGAGCTGGTTAGTCTCTGGTCTTGATTGGAATTTACAAAGATTGTGTTCAAATCACCCTTGAAATTATATATACATATACCTGGTAACCCTCCAGATTGCTTTTTTCTGCTCTGTTTTAAGAAAACGTGGTTTTTTGCCATTTTGAACGAAAAAGTGACTGTAAAGAAACTTTCCTTTCAGGTATCTAGCGCGAAACTCGAAAGATCTTATCGCAGAGCTCCAAAGGGTGCTAGAGAAGGAGAAACCGCTGCAGCTGGTATTTGTCACTTGTGCATGGCTGGTACACCTGGCCCTGGTCTTGAGTGGGAAGATAAGTTCCTAAGCTCATATACACACACACAACAATTTCCAAGACATTCAGGGTTTGCCTTCCACCCCTATAGAACTGCATGTTTTTTATATATATATATATATATGTCCTATATATATACATATATATATATATAATGTTTTTCCTGTTCCCTCGCTTTATCCTCTTCCTTCCATGATGCAGACTTAGGCGCGTGGCTTTACGCTGCATGCAAGATGCATTGGAGAATGAGTTTCCTGTTCCCTGGGAAACCGAAGCTGCTTTTACAAGGATGCTCCTGGTGAATGCTGCCCCGAATGGTAAATGCACCTTTCATCGGCCAGACTTGTGGCACACAGTCAACTTGGGGGTAGGTAAGACATTTGTTGGAGGTGCCGTATCTGTTTTGGAGAAAGCATTCCCTGGAAGAAACCGAGCATTACGTTATGCGCAACTGAACTCCGATTACAGTGCCTTTTGTCGCAGCAACCACCTTCAAAAATATTTGACCAAGATTGACGCACGGACTTTCAACATTTCAGCATCAGAGGAGCCTACAGGAACCTGGAACAAAGCTTCTGTCACATCCAACATGTGCAGATTCTTAGAGCACCTATGCGCGACTTACAAAGAACAAATTTTGGCCCTCGACGATGACAGAACCAAGTTCATTGATACTTTGCCATGTATACAAATGTATACAATATTTTTAAGATGCGAGTATGTGTTTAAAGTGTTTTCCGGGTGAGAATTGTTTTTTTACTGTGCCTGCATGCCTGTGTGCGCTGAGGAATCTGGCGTTCAAGCATTGAACCGCCTGATGCACTTGCTGTACAACTGTGATGTGTGGATACCTCGAGAAATGGCCTTAGAATGTGTGAGGTGTGGAAACCACTTCCATTCCAGTTACAGGTTTCTTGCTGCTAGATCGCGTGAGAAAGGTCAGATGAAATTTCCCCTGATTCCAAAGATTCACCCACTGGAAGAGATTCTTTTCCTGATGGAACACCAAGCCAAGATCAGTCCATGGGTTTTGAATCCAATGGTAGAGTCCTGCAGCCTGGATGAGGACTTTGTTGGGCATGCTGCCTATATAACCAGGCATGTATCACCTCGTTTGATGTCATTACGTACCTTCAACCGGTACCTTACCCAGATCATGCTGGCTTGGCGAAGCTGATAGCCTGCAGTTGTTTCCCTCTATAAGACTCTATATTATATATATATACTATACACATCAGCTTTATATTGGTGTTTTCTACAAAGAACAGCCAACCAGCTTGAGTTTGGAGGCCATCATAAGATATCATGCCAAATGGTATGATTTAGTCATTTTGCAAGGAAAACACCTCTAGAGCGTAAAAAAGCGTTCGGATTGGAAAAAACCGTTCCAGAGCACTTTTTGCGTTCAAAATGGCAAAAAACCACGTTTTCTTAAAACAGAGCAGAAAAAAGCAATCTGGAGGTTTACCAGGTATGTTTCACCACAGTCAGCGTCCACATCCTGGAGGGATCTCTGGCAGTGACGCAAGCGCAGGGGTTGCTTGACGAGAGGGTAGCCGGCCTCTCAAAGGATAGGTTGGACACGATTGGTCAGGAAAGAGCCACATAAAACAGAATAGAAGAACACGAAGAAACCATGAGACACCATGAGACACCTGCAACAAATCTGCAACATATCCACAAATGTGAACGTGCATCAGTCTCTTACAGGACGATGCCGTTACCAACAACCACATTCCCGCGCAATTGAAAACATGCTCAATGCGGAATACAACCTGAATTGAGCGGATGTTTTTGGTAGTGAAAAATCAAGGGTGTGTGTGCAAACAATGTGGATCTAGAATGATGTAGACTGATTCTGTGCAGATATTGAAAGGGGGAACTCTATCTGCTAGTTATGACTTGACGACAATGTGTGCGACCTAAAAGCAAATAAGCGCTACAGTAATATGAAGGAAATACCAACATGGAAGTCCATGTTTGTACAGGCAGCTGGCCGCATCTGGCCGCCAACACATGCCAACATTGCAAAATCTGCAAAATTAAATTAGAGCTGGTAAGGATATCGAGCGATATTGAAAGATATTGAAAGAAGGGTTGCTGAGGCAACCATCATTGCACATCTTTTGCACTCTGGCCTGAAAGCATGGCAAAGAGCACCACACCAAGGCTGAACATGTCCAGAGAGCCATCACAAATCAATGTCTGGCTTCCTAGCAGTGAGCAGCTGAACCCAACATGCGCAACAGCTAAGCAGATCTAAGCAGCATTAAGCAGCTAGCCTGCAAGTTGTTCGACTGATTCGATTGCCCTTCACCCAATCGTGTTTGTGTCCAGGGGCCATAGGCCCGTAGTCTACGTGAGGTCTATCCAGTCTAATTATCCATTTTCTGCCGCTTATTATGCTCAAACGGCTCAAACTCGCAACATCTCGCAACCATCACTGCGTGACTAGCCATGACTTGGGCCATGACTCTAAGTTACATGCCACAGGATGCATCAGGATGCTACTTCCGACCAAGACACGCACTTCTGGTGCAAGGTAGACTGGTGTGCCTTCATCTTCTCCTGGGGATGCTGGGGCATGGGACCGTCACTGTACAGGTTTGATTTGCGGCATGCAGCTACCAATAGCTACCATTTCATCTGACCAACCTGCTTCGCAAGAAAGATCCGCAACAAATTAAAACAGCATAAAACAGCAACCCTCCCAAATGCTGTCCCTCGCAGTCCCTCTCTGAGCCCCTCTCCTTCTTCCAGTTCTTTGCCAGCTTCCCTGGCTAGACCGAAGTCGACAAGCGTGATCTCCTTTTCGCCACTGACGCCACTGACCATAATGTTTTCAGGCTTGAGATCCTCAGACCCAAGGACTGTGTGTATCAGTGTGGAACAGTGTGGCACCATGTCTGGGGCATTTGTTGGGGGAACGGTCTATCACAATACCCTCACAAATTGCAATGCTGATGATACTTGATGATCACATCTGATCATGAACAATATGAACAATATGAACAATATGAACAATATGAACAATATGAACAATATGAACAATATGAACAATATGAACAATATGAACGTGAATTTTGGGAATTATAACTAACTCGGCATAAACGATACACTGTAAATGGTTATTGCGCTTCCTGGGTGCAAATGAACTTGTGAGAGGATCTAGGTGGCTGCCAGCAATGCCGGAATCTATCCAAATCTACTAAATAGGAGCCCCATCCTATCTTCCAAATCTTCCACATTCTTCGAAAAGGCTGTCATCCCCAGCTACTGATGGGGCCCCACTTCCTCCCTTTCTCAAGCTTGGAAACTCGGTGAACGACGCCATGAGAGTGACAATACGCCAAGACTTCCAGAAGTTGTCGGATGATCTCCGCTGCCTGCTGTTCTTCCATGGGGCCAGTCATCAGAAGGGTCTCCATCAAATCAGTGCCTTGCAGGGGGCGCAGGTTACCTCAAATCCTCATCAACTTTGTCCGATGTTGTCGCAAAGATCCAGTTCCTACCCCGGTATCAGTTCCTTCTCTCAGTGATGAGTGTCATAACAAGAGTGTGTCGTAACAAGAGGACGTGAGGACGAGTCTGAACCCGTTATAAGCTGGTTTTGATGGCTCAGCTTTCGCAACTGTCTGCCTTGGGCATACTCAAGGATTAAATGCACACAGAACTCATCCTCGACGACTGCAATCAGTCCTCATGAATCGAGATGCGATCGCCAATTGAACATGCTCTATGGATCTCTATGGCATCTAAGAATATCTAAGATCCCTTATGATCCCTTTATCTGATCCCTTTATCTGAGCTCGCTGAATTCTGCCTTTCAGGCATCCTTTTCGGAAATCAAGGATGACATGGCATGACCTTGACCAATAGATCGACGATATATCGAAGAGATGCCACTGGCATAGGCTTGGGGATGTTTGATGCACCTAGCATATATATATATATGTGTGTGTGTGTGTGGGTGTGTGGGTGTGTCATTATATACTATTTTATAATATATATATATATATCTATATCTAACTCCCTCTCTCTCCTTCTCTCTCTTGATACTGTATGAACTGCATTACAATACCTGTCGCTGCATCGGCTCTCTGCGCGGTTGGCTCAAGGCTCGATTTATTTGATCGTGATCCAGCGAACGCAAGAAAGCCGCCTCGCTTAGAGCAGCTTTTCTATCCTCTCTGGATTCCTCCAAGTTCAAGTCACATGGATCACCCATGATCACGCTGCAAACAGCTGTAACACTGTAACACTGTAACAATGCTGTAACTGTCTTCTGAAAACAGAGCAGTATGCTACACGCAACACATACGACATACTTCAGTTTGCTGGTTTCGAAGCCCTGTCCTGCGGAATCGACTTTATGGCCACCAATTTGCCAGTCCTTCACGGAGATGGAAAAAGAATACGGTACAATACGGTACACTTCACATTTGCAGTAATTACATTATATTACATATTATTACATGTAATTAATCCAAACCCAATCAATGAGTTCCGTTGAATCTCCCAATGCTGTGCTTCCGTAGTGTGAATGTCTGCTGGTCCTGAGGCATTTCCCTTGGTGCATGGTCGCTGCGCCGCCCCTGCCTTGCCCAGGTGTCCCGCCACGATTGAATGCATTCCACAGCAACAGAATAGCACAAATGATCACGAAATGCGCTGCAATGACTCTAGGGAACCAAGAACTAAGAAGCTGCTCAGACAATTCGTCTTGCAATACCTTGCGGTATCTTGCAATGCATCTACGGCTGAAAGACAGGGCCTATACTGCGCTGAATCCTGGGCATGGTGAGCAGATACGCTAGGATAGATGCAAGTAGATAGCTAGTGATCTCCGACTATGTAGATACATAGATCACCGTATGAATCATAGCTGTTACCACACACACACACACATATATATATATATATTATAACGTAAAAATACGTAAAACATCGTAAAACATATCACAAATATCCTATATTATTATAGTTTATAAATATATATAATATTACCAATTCATTAACAATTCATTGATATCAATAGATGCTTATGATGTTGTTCCGAGCGATGCTGCTGAGGCGCTCAAATCTTCCACCGATTATCTCATCTGGCGAGGCATCAGGGGTCCTGGACTCAAGCACAGCACCAAAACCAGAAGTGAAGTTTGGTGTCGTTGCACCATTGCAGTCCACTTAATTGCACCCAAATTTGCTCTTAAGCGGAATGAAGCGGATGGCAGCGGTCAAGGAGCGAATGTGAAATCTTCCTATACATCAAAAACCCTGGCGTGGCGGTTCAAAGGCGTTCGCAATAAGGGTGCTGAACTCATGTTGGCATATCTTGGCCACTTTCAAATCGACATGTTGATTCTGATTGCATGTTTGTGGCCTTGTTCGATCCCAACTTCTGCAACTGAAGGGGTCGTCTGCCTGACAGATTGCAGATACACTTGCAGGTATTTGCTGGTGTTTCAGCCCCATGCATTGACGTACATACAGTAGGATTACAGTCGGATGTGCAAATCAGGTTGTAATCGTTGGAAAAGAACTACTAGTACAAAGAGCATCAAAGAACTCTGGGTTGCTCATAGTGGCTCACGATGGCTCTGAGAGGGCTCTATGTCGCTCTGTTAGGATATGTTCAAACCAAACAGTCTCAGTTGCCTGAACAAACTCATTGGAATCAGCCTTCAGCCTCTCCCAGGTCCTGATTTTATGCATTTCATCTTTCATGAGATTTCATTAAACAATTCAATTAACACAAAGAATTTCAAAATATAACTCATTTGTCTTAAGATGCCTTGACGAACATCGTGGAAATCGCGCCTCACAATCTTCAAAGTAGCTGCAGCAGCTGCCAAGTGCCTTGGCCTCAGGCAGCTCATGGCAGCTCCTTTAGATTTAAAGTTTAGGAAGTTTAGGAAGTTTAGGAACCTCACGGGTCCATATGGGTCCATATGGGTCCTGGGGCCTCATGGGAGGAGTCACCTGGAGACAGTTAGCCACAAACGGAACAAGGATCTTCTCGCTGTGGTCAATATTGGTCAATGCTGGTGTCTGTAGTTGATATGCAAAATTATGCAAATCATTGAATTCTGAGGACACGTCGTCGTGCCGATGCAGGGCCTGACCAAAAGTACATACCCCAGGAACCGACAGAATCACAATGGTCACATCCCATCCAAACATATTGAACATGTAAAAAACTTCGATGTTTCCAAAACAGTCAAAATAGTCAAAGCATGTCAAAGCATCACTTCGCTATAACTTTGTTACACTTTGTTGCCCGTAGCATCATCGCTTCAACCGCAGCATAGCATTCAGCTCGTTGAGTGGCGCACAGCTGATGGCAATCTCGGTCTCGCCGTTGCCATCGTTTCAAATGTGCCTATCACTACTGTCAGTCGAAGCACGTAACTTCGATCGTGTCTTGAGCCCAAAAAAGAACAACATAAAACAACATAAAACAACATAAAACAACGGCACAATGGCATAATCCAACAGGAAAGGGCGGAACATGATGCAACATGCTGCGCCCCTCGGCATTCGTCTATGTAAGTCTGTGCATGTAGACAAACACGTATGCCTGTTGTATGCGTCCGGTATTGTATAATTATATGTGTAAGTATGTATGTATCATCTATATATATATATTATGTATGCATGCATACATACATACTTGCATGCATGCATGTATGTACGTACATACATGTGCACAAACTCATGATGATTCGTACATTATAAATTATAGTATGTACAATTATATACAGCATATATATATATATGCGTATATATATATTATATATCTAATGCATATCAATATACTCATATATATCATATATCCATAATAGCTAATGTGGCTACCTAGCTCAGCAATTTTCATCAACTCAGGCGGCTACACAGTGCCCGGCTTCAAGAACTGAGCTAAGCTGAGCTAAGTGTCCGCGCAACCACACGATTGTCAACCTGCAAAACCTGCGAGACACCGCAGTATGTGACATGAAACTTGTGAAGTTTCTCTTCAGCTTGCGTGATTCTGACTGAAGCAAGAACATGCAAGAAACGTCTGCGAACACCCGGTGACTGAACTTGTCGGGCGCTCTGGTCCGCCAGTCTAGCACGGTTTATCACTGTTTATCACATGTCTCTGACTGTATCTCCATCACGGGAAATATCTAGAACTGAATAGTCTCTGAATAGTCTAGATACGGTATCATGCTCGAATTGCCGCCTCCCAGCGTCCTTGGAGCTCTTTCTGGAAAGGAATCTGCGGTTCCCAGACAGTTAGCAAATGAAAAGTCAAACGGCGCACCTATGTCATGTCACAGCTACAAAGAGAAAAGTGTGTTACCGGTTGATGAGCTATTGGCATGTCATACCTATGTACTCCAGGTATGACTTCAAACTTGCGCCTGGCAAATGCCAGTACATTCAATACATTGTTACATGATGTTACATGATGTTACATGATGTTACATGCCATTACCAACTGTGGGTATTGTGAGTAGAAAAGTTTTTTTCGAAGCAAATGACAGCAGCTCACGGCAGCTCACCGGATCGCGGCCTGATATGGCTGGACGAACCGCTCGTTGAGACACTGGCGTGGCAACCAGCCGCCCGGCCTGAAGCTTGGATCACCGCCCTTGCGTACACAGAGAACACCGAGAACATACCAATCATTACCAAACATTACCAAAGATTACCAAACACACCAAAACAAAAAAGGCAACTTGAAGCGCCACGTGAATGCCACATGAACGCCACCGTTCCTTCCTTGAAGATTAAGGCGTCCTAATCTCAGAAATCTTTTACACTACAAACTTTTACGCATATCCATGCTATATATATTATATACATAATGTATCACATATCCATCTTGCTTCACCTTACAAACATCCCATCTAAGGCTCTGTGATCATGTCCCTCTATTCCGATATATTCCCGATACTCATTGGCTTTCAGGCAAGCAGCGTCCACGTACAAAACATTACAACACCATCCGCCCAAACGATAAGAGAAGTGTTTTGTCAATTTGTCATGTAAGACAAATGAAAACCTGATTTTAGAACCTTAAATGTAGCAATCACCCTTCCGACAAACACACATGTAGCGTAACTCTGCACATCTCTGCAAGTTGTTCCTTTGTAGGGCAAGCTAGGACGTAAACTGCAATGGGGTGCAGCAATCGTTGCCATTCTGCGAGCCAGCCATCAGGCGACCTTTGGCTAGTAGGATCACTTTTGGCCAAACACCAAATTTGAACGGCACATAACGGCACTGTGCATTGCAAGTGTGGCCCTGTATAGAATACTGTGAAGTATGCGCGTCTGATCTTGTCTTGTACCTGAAGCGGGTTTGGTTCAGAAAGTATGATGGCATGGAAAGTTTGAAATGGATGCGCACAAACTACGAATCTAAAATTGTCTGAACATGTCTCAACTGCATTGCTCCAAGGCCGAAACCGTGTGCCCAGCTGCCCTCGGATTTAGACACAAGTACAGCCTCGCCAACTGCCACTGAGAGCCGTTGCTCTCCACATGCCTTGCGGAGAGTTGTCTTGACGTCCCAATTTCTGCCGCTTCGGAAAACAACTGAACGCCAGCGTGGTTGATTGTCTACGTCCAAAGAACGGCAAATATATTGGATGATACGGTGTAGATATCGTTGTGACACATCACAACCATCAGAACTGCACCTCGCAGTCACACAAAGCACAGCCAAAATGCCATCCCACCCAACACCTCGCTCAGATTCATGGAGAGGAAGCAGAAACTGCAGAAAAACTCAATCGAACGTACCGGAACCACCCAAATGACAGATTTGCCACCCTTGAAGCCCCACTTCTGGATTCTTTCGAGGCTGGCACCAGTATGTGCAGCAACATCGTCCTGCCAACAGATTCAATCGATTGTGATGTAGCTTACAGGGCAACTTCTACGACATGATAGAAGAATAAAACTATTTTCAAGTGACCCCCACCAAGTGACATCATTCCATCTGGCATTCTTTCTGACATTCTATTTGGCATCTATTCTGGCATTCTTTCTGGCATGTGTTCGGGTCCATGCGTGCCAAGCTGCGGGGGAATTAAGGAAAAACAACACCAAATAAAAAAAGAAATGTATAATTCAAACCTAATTTAGGAAAAAAAACAAGCAAAACCAATCAGAGCAGCCAAAAGTACATGAAGCAAAACCCAAAAAAGAAACTAAACCAATAATACCTGCACTGTTGTGTTGTTGCTTGTATTTGCTTTGTTTTTTCTCTTTGCATGTTTTCTTGCTTTCCCTTTTGTGGATTCTTTTTCTGTTGTTTGCTGTTTACTTCGTGTTTCTCGAATTTTCGAAGGTCCTGGTCACCAGGATCACCCATTTGTCTGTTTCTGTCCGTTTGTCTTTTTTTTCTGTTTTTGCTGTTAGTTTTGCTTTCAGTGTTGCTTTTAGTCTTTCCGTTTGACTCTGTTCTAATTGGTTTTGCTTTTTCAAAATAGTCGGTTGTTTCTCTTTGCTGTTGTTTTTAGTTTTTCCTCAAAAAGTGGTCCGGTTTTCTTGTGCATTAGTCTTCGCGTTCTTTATTTTTTCATCCTTAGAAGTAGGCTTGAGGCACTTCACAAAATTAGCCAAAGCACGGTACAGTGCATACAGTGCATAGTGTCAAAATCCTTCAAAATCAATCAAACACTACGAAAGCCATGCAATTTGCAAATCGCTTTGATCACTGCACACTCCGCCTGCAGCACTGAAAGCCTGCCTCACGGGCATGACCAGGCTCCTTCAAAGCATCGCGGAATCCCATTCCCAGATCCCATATGATCTATTTGCCCAAGGCCCTCAGGGCACTATAGCATGCTGTAGCATGCTGCAGCATGCTGTAGTACTGTAGCACGGTGCATGCAAAAAAATGAGCACATTGCACTGTGTAAAACCCTATACACACTGAGTCCTTTGGAGCTTCTCAGTCTTTTGTGCAATCTGTTCCATGCTCAGGTCAAAATGCGTGGATCCTCCCAAAGATATGACCATAAGCCGCAGCTGACGCTCTTCCACCAGCCAGAAACCATGACAGCTTGATATGGCTTACTTGCACAGTGAAGTCGACAGTGATGCTATATTTAACTATAACTGCCATGCGACATCCCATGCTGAGAACTGCCGACAAATCTTTGTGGTAAGATGTGGTACGGTCTTAGATACTGCCTTGGTCCCATGCCTGCACGCACGCTTGGCCAAACTGGATCTCCTCCAAAGTTCAAGTGTCAAATTTCGGAAATGAATATTACTGCAATGGATAGCCGAAGTTTGGATAGCATCTTTATGTACAGGTATTTACATGTATTTACATGTCCTTACTACAATATGCCCACTTCAAAACTGCATTTGACTTGACACACTTGGAGCTTGGTAAAAAACCCTTCACGGATCCAAAGCGAACAAACAAAAAACTCTCTCTCTCTATATATATATATAATATTAAATATATAT